GGAGGACGAGGAGATCAAAACGCTGGGACAAGCAGAGACTTGCTGTCAAGTATGCTCGTGCAAAATGTCGGATGGCAGGGGGAAAAAAAGGTGACAAAACAAAAAACAGAGAATGAAAGAGGAAAACCAAGAGAGAACGCACAGAATCTGTCTGTTAGCTATGATGTAAAAACTACAGCAGGGTTAATCCATGCAAGCTGTATGTTCAAATGTAACCTTGAATCAAGACAAAATAATTTTCATTACAAATAACTTTACTAAATGAAGGTTATGTATAAATAAATTAAACACATTTTCACAGCTTTTATGACAGGTGTCTTCTGTCTTGTTCCTTATAACCAGCGCCAGCACATACGGCCTATCCACCGGGACTATTTATTTACTTTGTATGCTGTTACGATCAGTTCCAGGATGTTCCGCGAATCTGTCGCCAGGACTCCAACTGTGGCACCAGGTATGAGATTTGCATAGTTCTATGAGAGAAAAACAGATAAACAACAAAGCCAATGTTACAAATGTAGGCAGACTTGGCTCGTGTTGCTGAGAGCAAGGACAGAAAAGATACAATACAGAAAAGAGTTCTAACAGGCTGAATGGAAAATGTAGCTCAGTACATAAACGTGGTAACCTCAGCAAACACACACAAGCACTTAAGGACCTATGCTACTGGAAAGAAATTTATATCATTATGGGAAGGAATATCACCTTGTAATTCTGTTTCTGTTTTTCTGTCACAGCAAATATCAGCAAGATATTGTTCTCCACCAACTTATCAACCAGCTGACCAAGAGTTGGATACTCCTGAAAAACAAAATGCCACCAGTGAATAAGGACTGTGAGACAGTGATGAGTCAAAACGGATGACCACAAAACGACGCATGAATTGAAAGTCATGTCATCTCAGTTCCAAGCATAGAAAATGACACTTGCACTACTACTTCTGAATAACAAACAAGATATAACACATGTAAAGAACCTCTGCGACTTTACCTGCACGGTGGACATGGAATACTCATTGTTGACATCCAGGTGACACTGCCCGTCATTGGGAATCACGATGCCGGCCATCTTACTGTCCATCCCAATGTGTGAGTCAGCATCGCTGACAAACACCAGCAAACGCATCGAATCATTCCTCCAGCCTATCTTGTCCTATCAGGAGACAGGTTATGTTGCTCATCCTCCTTCTTTAACTCAGCTCACTAATTAAATGATGAAAGCGACAGGACAAAAATCACATATGCTGTAAGTTCATCTCTTTTAGCAATTTTAAAAATAAAGTCTTACCCCACAAACCGCTGCCTGCATGACAGCATCAAAGCCACACTCTGGTATATCAATATTTGCAGATACACGCTGCATTGCAATTATCTCGTTGAACTTGTCTGTGCTGCTTGTCAGAGACAAGACATGTTTGTAGCCAAAGGTTGGCAGGCAGTTTGCGCCTACGCCACTGCAACACACCAGAAGTAAAAGCAAACATCTGAAATATAATGCTCTCTGAGATATCAAATGACATTGCTGAACTTTCCAGCCTCAGGACAGAGGACTTAGTTGTATCCTGTGATGTTTTAATATATATTAATTACCTGCAAGGGTTGGCCAGCTCCTCTTCTGTGATCATGATGAAAGGCAGGACGGGTTTCTCCACAAACGAGCCAAAGCCCATACGAAATTTGCTGGTGAGGTTGGCCATCTCTTTAGACAGAGTGGAGCCCAAGTCTTTGATCATCTCCAGATCATCGATCATGGATGCAGACAGGTCCATCAAGTAGTAAATGTCCACAGGATAGTCCTCTGTGTGTTGAATCTTCACCTGGAAAGACACCTGACTGCCTGTGCAAAAAACAAGAGCACCTTAGTTTTGTCTGAGAATAAGAAACCACTTCTGAGTCTAAATCAGCACTTCAAAATGCTGTACCAGGTCGCAGCCTGAGGGCCATTTTCTGTGGGGAGATCTGCGTGCTGTTAGCGTTGCCCGTCTTCTTCCCGAGTGGGAGATCTTGCAGGATTTGGGCTTTGGAAACAGTGAACTCGACCTGGTCCCTGGCACATCCCTTGTCTAGTAAGCCATCCAGTGTGTCACATCTTTCATTGATTGAAAACCAGTCTGTAAAATTCTAAGAGGAAAGCACACACACATTGGGCTCGTTATAGATTGAAAAATCATATACTTTTGAATGCATTGGCATATCCTACATGTTCTGGCTGGATACATGCGCCTGGCGGCTTACCTCCTGTGTGCACCAAGCGCAGTGAGGACTAAGCTGTAGACACTGATCACAAGTCACAGCAGTGCCAGCTGAACAAGATCCTGCAGCACATATGAACAGTTAGAGTGAACATGCCAACCTGTTTCCTGCATCTAGTCCAAAGCTCTGGATCTGAAAAAGTGTGTTAAGTCTTTGGACCTGGAAAACTATCTAGTGTAATTTAGGATATAACTAATTTATTAACATGCATGGCTCTTTTACTTATTACGTTCAAGCGCAGTAACAATAATAGGACAAAGTTTCACAGTGACACGTACTAGACAGTTATAAATACCATGGCATCACTTATGACTTGCCCTCGAGAAACTGTCACAATTTGTTTGCAGATTCTGAACATGGTGCCCTTGACTTTTAAGCGGAACAAAACTCCTACTTACCTTCCACAGTGTTGATCCAGTAGCGGAAAATCAGGCTCAGCAGTATAAGCCCCATTAGTCCGTGAGGTTACTAGTTGAGAGCAAACAGACGAAGAATATTTCAGGTTGTCTCATATTTACAGGAGTGAAACATATCCGCCGCTCCCCAGCTTAGCACTGACTGCCGCACTACCTGGACAGAAGAGGAGGCGGAGGTGACTGCCGCGTTCACCTGCGCTACTTTTTATGCTCACTTCCGGACAGGTGAGAAAACGAGGCGGTCGCGAAACGAAATGAAGTCCTTACAGTTTGTACTGACAGTGTTTAATTGCCTTATACGGAATCCTACATACGAATGAGAGCAACAAAAAAAAGAGATAACATAATAGGGTTACCGAGTGTAGTAATCAGGTGTAGTACTAGTAGTGAAAAGTAAGCCTCTTTCTCTGTATTGCATGCCAAAAATACTTCCACTCCACTACATTTCAATGGGAAATTCTTTAACACGGATGCTTTCCAGATTAAGATTTCACATAAACATATACTGAAAGCTGGGGCCACACTCTAACGACAAATATAAACAATTACCTACATGTGTATCCTGTGTAAAACACCTTGTGACTTTGGATTTAAGAGGTGTCTTTTATACCCTCCCTACATTATTGCATTGGGCTTGAATTACTGACCCTTAACCAAAGAGAAATAATAAAATAAAGATAGGCCACACCATAAGCAAATATAGTCTATATACCCCGCCTACCTAGACATTACAACAGAATAAAATGTTAATATTTAACAGCACAAGAACTTGTCATTGCCTCACAAGAATCTTTTCAGCTTCACAAAAACCACCATACAGGCCCATCACAAGCTATGAAATATGATCGTGAGTGTGGGCATATCTGTCTGTGTGTGTCTACAATACAAGGGGCAGGAGGGTGGAGCTGTTTAGGTGTTGAACCATTAACAGCTGCAGCACAAATATCCCTGCTTGTCCCAGCTCAGAGGAATCTCACAAATCAGCACCACACCCCTCTGGATCGGTGCGAGTCCCATCTGTTTCCCCAAACCAAACCCCCACTTCTCCTCCTCTCCTCCTTTCTCCCTTCAGTGACACCCCCTCTCTCCTCAGCTGTCTTGATCCACCTTACCTAGTAGCCTTCCCTGTGTAACTGACATTTCATTTCTACCGTCTATCTGTGATTTCTTCACACCCATCATCTCTTCTTGCTTATCATTATTATCTGAATCTCTCAAGACATATCTCAGCTTGATGCTTTTCAGTTAGGATTCTCACTGCAAATATCACAAGTGTTTGAAGCATATCATGACATGATTTTCAAACAGTATCAGTCTCATCAAAATTCAAAACTCTATTAATTATTCTCCCTCTCAGCACCACACTTTTACTATACATAGGAAAGGAGGTATACATTAATCCTGCAATGAGCTTACTGACTTTCAGGGGCGTCCTCTGCTAACATGCTGTCCAGTCTCGGTCTGTCTCCCCCGTCATCAAGTGAATAATGCAGAGAAACGGAGAGGCATCAGGCCGATACAGTCAGTCCTAGCGTCACAGTAACAGTAAACCTATTGTAACAGTGCCCTTTATCAAGCATAGTGCTAGGGTGACCCTGCTGCCCATGCTCCTTGGCTCATGTGCACTTTTGTGTGTCTCATAGTGAGTGAGCGTGTGTGCATTCATGCTGGCTGGCATGTGTGGGTGCATACAGTACATGCTCTTACTTGTCTGTGTGTGAGACTGTGATGATACTGAGTGACAGTAGCAGCTGGAGGCTGTAAGACACAGGACCTAGCTTCTTTATTACAGCAAGACCTGACTGATGCACTAGATTTATTTGGATTGTGAACGTCAATGTAAAGTCCCCACAAGGAATGGAAGAAAAATGCATGTGAGCTCATTTGCTCAAGCTCAATTACTTCCCGTAGTGAGGAGGACACCAAAATAAGGCATGCCAGTACTCTCATACAGCCTCCTTCTCACAGTGGTATGGCTGGAATGCAGGTGTACACATACATGCAGAACAAAATATCAGAGCATAAGTCTACACTGTAAAAGAACTGAAGATTACATATCTCCAAAATCAATCATGTTTGTCTTAGAGGCCTCTACACTTTTTACAGCATTATACAGGGTTATTCAAAAAGAATGAACCAATTTCATGATGCAATATTTTATTAAGGAAAAGTAATACAAAACTCAAGCCAAGTCACAAGTATTTTACTCACAATCAACTTTTATAATGGTCTTTTTCAAATGGTCACTGACTCATTCCAGGACGATGCTTGAGAACTGAAGCAATGCGTACTGAAATCGGTTCATTCTTTTTGAATAACCCTGTACACTCTCTATCCTCAGACCCTCAGTATAAATAAAACTTGCTTGTGAGACTGTACTTGAGCTAAATGCTCACATCAGCATGATAACATGCGCACAATAATAGACTTGGCATAAATATTTAGCTTCCATACATTTACTAATTAGCACAAAACACAATGTACAGCAGAGGCTGATATGAATGTACAGTATTGTTAAATATTAAAATAACAGGACCTAGGAGTGGGAAGTGATGACAGAGACTCTTCCACTCTGTTAGTTTTAATTCTTTAGTTTAATATCAGTGGTTCTACATCCAATGTTTTACTAATGAAGTGTTGTTCAACTATATTTAGAAAGGCAATAATTACAGAATAGCCAACAATTATCCAGTCCTGTCAGATATCTCTGCTTCTATCTCTAAATTAATCTCTGTAAAGGCTTTATTGTGAATATAGCAGAATGCTGGTCATCAGTTACTATTTATATATTTGAATGTTTGCAAACAGAATAATGTTCAACTTCAAGTGTTTAGAAAGGGCTACAATTAGAGACTGTGCTGCAGATTGTGCACTCTGTGTTTCACTAAAATACTAACACCACACTGTAAAAACACTCCATTACACGGAAAGGTCTTGCATTGAAAATGTTACTTAAGTATGAAAGTATCATCAGGAAAATGTCATTAAAGTATAAATGCATTTTAGCATTGTAGCTAGTTGGAGTGCAGCTATTTTAACTATTATATGTATTTACAAATACAGCTAATCATTATTATTTTTTAATTGAGGATTAATTTGTTTATTTTCTTGATAAATCCGTTAATTGTTTGGTTTGTTTAAATTCATTAAATACATGAGAAATTACAGACATACAATTATCCAGAGCAACAGTGTTTTTTCTTATAAATAGTTCAAACTTCAAAGCTATTTTTATTTTATTTTTATAATAAAAATAACTAAAGCAGCAAAGCCTCATGCCAGAGAAGGTGGAACCATAAATAATTAATTATTCAACTAATTATTTCAGCTCTTCTTCTGGGCAATTTAATGTATAACATGGCAAATTTTTCATAGTTTATTATTTGTAAGGAAGAAAATCTCAATTTTGGGATATTGTGTTGGGCATTTATGAATATTTCTTATAATTTTATAGACAAAACAATCAAACAGTTAATTAAGAAAATAATCTGCAGATTAACTGACAATGAAAAAACACTTTATTAGCTGCAGCCTTAGTGTATATTAAATGGTAGTATACTATTTGGACATCCCCTTTTTCTTCAATTTTTTTTAGCAAATGTTAAAACAAGATATTGAACAATTTGGAAGTTATAGCATTAACAGTAACAAGCAGTAACAGTCTACGTCTTTAGGAAACATCCTGTGTGTTGAATTACTAACATGTATCACACTAAATAAATGATACTGGAAACCGTAGTAGGCCTCCTCTCCTGAAGTCTGTGCCCGGAGTCTGACCCTGGGCTTTCTCAAGGGATCAGTGCCATGTGTCACTTCAGCTGTGGAGAATTAAAAGAGAGACAGAGAGTGAAGGACAGGAAGGACTTGGCATGTATCTTATGTTCAAAGGGTTGATGCTCATACAATATGCACTTGATTGACGTGTGTGTGTGCTGCAGATTGTGCACTCTGTGTTTCACTAAAATACTAACACCACACTGTAAAAACACTCCATTACACGGAAAGGTCTTGCATTGAAAATGTTACTTAAGTATGAAAGTATCATCAGGAAAATGTCATTAAAGTATAAATGCATTTTAGCATTGTAGCTAGTTGGAGTGCAGCTATTTTAACTATTATATGTATTTACAAATACAGCTAATCATTATTATTTTTTAATTGAGGATTAATTTGTTTATTTTCTTGATAAATCCGTTAATTGTTTGGTTTGTTTAAATTCATTAAATACATGAGAAATTACAGACATACAATTATCCAGAGCAACAGTGTTTTTTCTTATAAATAGTTCAAACTTCAAAGCTATTTTTATTTTATTTTTATAATAAAAATAACTAAAGCAGCAAAGCCTCATGCCAGAGAAGGTGGAACCATAAATAATTAATTATTCAACTAATTATTTCAGCTCTTCTTCTGGGCAATTTAATGTATAACATGGCAAATTTTTCATAGTTTATTATTTGTAAGGAAGAAAATCTCAATTTTGGGATATTGTGTTGGGCATTTATGAATATTTCTTATAATTTTATAGACAAAACAATCAAACAGTTAATTAAGAAAATAATCTGCAGATTAACTGACAATGAAAAAACACTTTATTAGCTGCAGCCTTAGTGTATATTAAATGGTAGTATACTATTTGGACATCCCCTTTTTCTTCAATTTTTTTTAGCAAATGTTAAAACAAGATATTGAACAATTTGGAAGTTATAGCATTAACAGTAACAAGCAGTAACAGTCTACGTCTTTAGGAAACATCCTGTGTGTTGAATTACTAACATGTATCACACTAAATAAATGATACTGGAAACCGTAGTAGGCCTCCTCTCCTGAAGTCTGTGCCCGGAGTCTGACCCTGGGCTTTCTCAAGGGATCAGTGCCATGTGTCACTTCAGCTGTGGAGAATTAAAAGAGAGACAGAGAGTGAAGGACAGGAAGGACTTGGCATGTATCTTATGTTCAAAGGGTTGATGCTCATACAATATGCACTTGATTGACGTGTGTGTGTGTGCACGGGCTACATGGGACATATATGTGTATTTCTGGAGTTGGGGGTGGCTGGATGATGTCTGTGTACATGTGGGGATGTGTGTGTGTGTGTGTGTGTGTGTGTGTTGGTGTGTGGCAGGGGGTGTGATGGTTAATTCTTTTGATCCCCTTGACTGGTACAAGATGCGGGCATGGTGCCTTTATGTCTCTGGGATCAGCTGCACTAAGTCAGAGCTTAAGAAGGCAGATCTGGTATAGGAGCAAAACTTCAAAGGCCATGTGCCTGAAACAGTGCTAGAGCAGAAGCACACACATCTTGTACTTGTTGCTGATCCACCACTGATTGCATATATGAGACCAGACATAGTCATACAACATGATATCCAAGCTTGAAAATGTGTTCAATAACTTCAAAAACGCTAGATTGCTTCACAGCGCCCTCTGCTGCCTGACGTTGGTACAATTAATTACACAGATAGTTGAACATTAGACCTTGTTGAGGTTGTCTGACGTGTTTTCAGGTTGTTAATGTATGCACAAAAGGTTACTTCTGTGCATACATTCACAACAGGCTGCTGTTTTTGCCCGATATCTTACATAACATTTATTATTTTTTTCTGTTTTTGATTTGGTTATGAGACCGAAATAAATGTTTTTGAGGGAGCCAAAAACACATGAAGCTGTTTACCCTGTATGTGAAATCAGATGTATGATGTTTAATTTCACTCTGGAGGAACATTACCAATCTGAAACAAGAAGCTCTATTAATGTCATGACAGTTATCTTGCCTGGATTACAAACAAGAAATGCAGAGCCCCTACTGGGAAGGGAGGATCTATGAAAATATGTGATGGGGTTGTATTATATGAACCATAGGATCCAACACCCAGACAAGGCATTTAAGCTTTGAGCTGGATAGTATCGAGAAAATAACTAAAATTAACATTAAGAAAAATACAGAATAACACTAGAGTTACTCTAAATGTACAATAGCAAGAAAATACAGAATCAAAAACAACATTTAATCAAAGAGACAAGGGTCATTTCTGAGAAAAGAAGAGCCTTTTATTCAGCTGTTTTATTCCAATGGTTTCAAAGGAGAGAGCAAAGAGAATTTTGATTGAGAATAAGTTGAATGTGACAGAGGAAGCAGTGTACACTCTTTTTTTTTTTGTTTTTTTACATTTTATCTCCGCAACAAATGTTCAGAATGGGAAAGCACACCAAGGAAAAGACGTGTTACTACATGTACTTTCCTACTTTGAGCACTTACTGCTACAGTACTACTGACTGAGGGGAACCATTGCGACCACACAGCTCTGACCATTTTTCTTGTTTCATGGTAGTGTTGAATTTTTACATCAGAAGTTAGAAATGTACAGAAAAAAAGCAAAGCAAACAATAAATCTTGCTATTGCTCATATATATATATATATATATATGATTCATAACAAGCCAACCTTTAAAATATATGCTGTCAGTCATGTGATTTCAACTTCCAACAAACTCTTCAGATGAAATGCTGCAGGTTTTCAAATACTTCATGATAGTTGCATTTATTTTTGCAGGAGGCAAGAATTGAGTTTGGCTACTAATTTAGCTAAATCCCAGCATTGTGTTTGGAGCGCATTACAGTAGCAGTGTAGCCAGACATAGTGACTTTTACTCTTTGTTTTTAAATGAAAAAGAGAAAATGTAAGGAAAAGAGGTGAGCCATCTAAGCTGTATCTATGGCAAAGGCAGGAGAAGGAACTAAATAAATTCATGGAACTTGCATTCACTGGGTTCAAGAACATTGGAAACCAACTATTTGAAGAAAAATCTATTTTGAATCTCTAAAACGGAGCATCACAACAGACACACTTATGTTGAAAACCAAATAACAGAACAGAAACAATGACAAATAAAGATGAGGCAAAGCACAATGTTTCACTGAAACTCAGGAAGGATGGGGAAACGCTGCAGCTAGGAGACAAAGGATAGAAGTTTTATTAAGCCAGCTCCTGAGCGTGGCTTCCGTTCTGTTTCATCCACTCTGGTGAAAAAGGGCTTTACCTGCAAACCCCACTACACCAGCAGACTCCAGCAGAACCTTGAGGTAGATCACTGGTCAAACTGACCACAAGAGGAAAAAAAACAAACCCTCGTTAAAGATGGCTATTGGGTGTAAAACTTGTAATTTCATAAAAGTATGGCTATCGCTTCAGGCCATGTCTTGAAATTAAAAAAAAAAAGGAAAAAGGAAACTAAGGAATTACCTTGCTCTGAGTTGGTCATTGTTTTTCCCCTCAGTATTGCCATGGGACTCTCAATTGTCTTTATTGCTACCAGAAGACTAGATAGCGACACGCTCAGTGGAAACCTCCTTGATTTCCCATACACATTTGAACCATCAGATAGAAACATGACACCTGATAAGCTCAATGAATATAATGCTTGACAGGATGATATTTGATGTGACGTGTAAGGAAGGCACCGGTATTAAATTCATTAACTTCCTAATGAAATGGTCACCTGTATTAGCAGTCAAGTGCAGTTGAACATAAATGGATTTTGGAAGCTTTTCTGTGGCAACCAAAATGAAGCTATTCTGAAACTTCAGTGCAAACAAGGTTCTGCAAGGTTTTTCATATATCACAAATAAAGGAACTATAAAACCATAGAAACCTCAGAGGGAGAAAATGTCTCAATCTCATGCATTTTAATAACACATCCTACTGGTGGGGGATGGGAAGTGGACAGGAAGGGTAGAGGAAAGGTAGAGGAAGGGTAGGGGGTTCCTCTGGCATTAGTTAAGGAATCCTTGAAAAAGAAGAACATTTTGTTTTTTATCAAAATAAATCTTTTTTTCTTTTTATTCCGTGATTAGCCACCTGTTTGAGTCCATTTACACTGTCCTCATTTTCCACCACGAGCATCCAGGCTGTGCAAAAACAGTTCATGTATCTGGTCCAATCAGAGAAGGTGGTGGCTGCGACCTCTGTGATGTCATCAGCAGCTTCCCTCTGGCTCACAGATCAGCCTAAAAATGAAAGAAACAGAAAGAAGCACTGATATAAAGACAGTAAACAAATATGAACAACAAATGTAGAATATAATAACTTTTGACCTACTCAGTGCAGTGCTAATTTTAATAAAAAACTAAAATACAGATTTACTTTTTAATTCAAACTATGTACATTCATCCTCCCCTCAAAAGTGCATCGTGGCTTCGATGTTTGAGCATCACTGTAAAAGCTCATGTCACTGTAAACATCACGTTTAGCTGCTGAAGGGAGGAAGTTTCTCTGTGTGTGTTAAGCAGGATTTTCTGACAACACAGCTGGATTGGAAGCTAACTGTGGTCCATTTAGCACCTTACACAAGTGTGAGGTGGAAACTTGAAGCCTCCAGTGCACAGACACTGAATTATCAGTGAAGCAAGAGACACCGTGTCCAAAAGTTGAACTTTTCAAATGAGAAATATTGATGTATTCATAGATACGTTTTCAGTGAAGGAGAACGGGTCATATCTAACAAGGTAACTGAATAGTTTTTGTTGAAAACTATAAACAGACATAAATTATTATCATTTTCATTTTATATGTGTCTGCAATCTGTATAAAGGCATTATAAAAGGTACCTTTTAACAACCTAACCTTTTTCTTAATGGATAATAATTGATCTACTGTATAAAGCCTTACCAACTGATTCACTAATATTATTAAAGCTGTTACTTATATGATATGAAATCTTGGTGTTTCATTACTGTATTATTACTGCCACATAACTTCTATTATATGGCTGTAAAGTTGCTGAAATAAAAAAAAAATGCTGGCATTTATGTCGGAAACTGAAGCGTACCTGTGATTACTTGCTGAGTTGACTGTAAGGAGAAGAGTTGTTGGAAGAATCCACTTGCTGCGGCGTGCCGTTTTCCTGAGAATCCAAACAATAACTCTCATTTAGAACATGATAATAGCCATCTTCATGGTGTTTGCACTGAGCTAATTGATAGTTCTAGAGAACAAGCACTTTGAAAATAATGAATGGAACGGGACGGGCTGTGTCTCAAACATTACTGTTTTAAGATACTATATAACACCATTAAAATGGACACCAAGTAGAAGGTAAATGTCTTAAATAAAGAGTTGAATTAGACTAAGACACAATAATCTTACAGGTGGTGCCTGCATGGGAGGATAATGAGGCATGTAAGCTCCTTGGACACCAGGATTGGCAGCAACATACTGTAAGACAGAATTATAATTATTGTAATTATTATTGAATGGTACAGGAAAAGACCTATAGTTAAGCCTGAGAGACTGGCTTGCTATCGTACATGCATCTTCTACTACTGCATATTAACTAAAGTATGAGTATGCAAAAAAGCAAAATATAGATACTGTATGTATGACTGTAGGTGAGTGTAAATGAACATATGAGAATATATTAGAGCCTATGACCAAAGACCCATGGGTGCCTCACTGGGCAAACTAATAACATGTTTTCTCTGCAGGGAGACAAATAAATCTGTCTGTTTTGAAAGCTAATATTAATGTATGTGAACAAAGAGATCTTTGGCTTTTGGTTCAATTCTGTTTCAGATAAAATTCTAGTTGCTTCATCAGACCATGTGGTTGTAATTTAGGTTTCTTCCACACATCAACTGACCATCTTTGGAACTGAGCATAATGAATAGTACACTGCAATCATACACAACAGTCGGCAATTACTCCTGTGTATTTAGTCTGTGAACAATCACTGGAACCAACATTTACTCAGAAAAAGCAATTTCAGTTTATTAAAACCACTGATATTTTATATGATCAACGCTGTGTGTGATGCAGCGTATCAGAGAAATCCACTCACCACTCCAGTGTTTCCCAGTGACAGCTGACCCATCTGCTGAGTAATCATGGCTGCGGGGTGCAGTGACATCGAGGGATCCACAGAGGGAGACATCACAGCAGCCTTTTAATACAAAACAGCTCAGTTTTATCCTCATATCACACATCACAGAGGCTGCGGTTATGAGTATACATATAACATGAGTTTCTGTTTAAAACCTATGTATGTATGAGAGGCCAGATAGATTAGATGGGGGAAAAAAGATTTGATTTGTGGCTTTGGGGTTTAACAAAATGTACACTAACGTACTGGCAGCCCTCAGTCTGTGATTATGTAGTATTCTGAGGTATATATAAAGTATTCTCTGGTCTGGGGTTACATTAAGGGATGGAAATATGTAAAAGGTATGACACTGCCAGCTGTACTCTGTCTTCAGACAGAGTATATTTCTTTAAACTTGATGCCTTTAGGGGCTAGCCCATTTCCTAGTAAACAGTGGGGGAGGGGCAGAGCAGCAGAGACACTTGTTCCACTGGAAACCATCTGTTGGAAGAGTCATTGAGTCACAAGGCTGTCTCTGCTTCAGGCATTTCCTGCTGGATCCACACAAAGGGGGGTGGGGGGCAGTGGATGAATGCCTTTTTACTTGTTCCATGTCTCTTTCATACGCACTCTGACACACATATACACACTTACAATATGTAAATACACAGCGGCAATTTCCCAGAACTCAAGTTAAACCCCGTCTTTCTTCTAGATTTGGGGAAGTTTGGGATGTTGTGTTTTTCTCTGTGTCAGCAGAACAGCTCGATTAAAATAACAGTCTGAGTTACTGTGAGCTCAAAGCATTCGCTTTAGCGACACCACACACCCATTTCCTGTACGCAGAATAAGAGGTGGTGTGTGAGTGTATGTAAAAAAAAAAAAGAAAAAGCAAATGCTGTCATTCCCTTACCGGGTGTTGCATGATATATGGCTGATGTGCCACCCAAGAATGACTCTGTACCTAAAGAAGGGTCAGAAAGAAAGGGAGAGGCGAATGACAGACAGATGGAAAGAAAAAGTTAATGGTGCTTCTTGAATTAAACGAACATACAGCTGCCATTAAGGAGGTAGGAAGTAGAAATGCATGGATATTAACACTCCAAATCACCAATTAGGGCTGCAACAGCATATATTGTAGCCACCCATCCATTCTTTTTCAGCTCACTATTTCTACTGTCACCCATGACAGCCAAAAATTCCAAAGCCGTGAGCATTTTAAGGCCGGTCTGGTTCCCCTCTGTTGGCATGGCCTCCAATGACGGCCTCCAAACTCTATGATTCTTTCAGTTCTGCCTCCTGTTCTGAGCTTATGTCTGTCTGATTAGGAGCATAATAAATATCTTCTACCTCTCAACAATATCCCCAGTTTAGGTCAGTACAATCCTCAGGGCAGGAGACAGACATCAGGTGCAATGCCCACTGGACAAAGAGCAGGACAAGGAGAGATGCAGGTTTTCTGGATATTAGCAGCACAAATTAGACACTGTAATGAGCTCCATGCATTATAATTTTTGTCTAACTGTGTGCAACCTAAATTCAAGGGAGCTGGGTTCTTTGAGCAAGCTTCATCTACTCTATAATAATAATTGGAGACACCACTGTTCATAGTGGCAATGAATAGGAGACCTGGAGGAGAGTATGCATCTGACTGAGAAACCGTGCCTTTGTTAGATGTCATTGCTAGTTTTTGTTTGGTATAAAAACACGTTTAAACACAAGAAAGCTCACACAGTAAGTGTTCATAGTACCAAAGCCCTTAAGTTGCCAGGATGATGAATGAATTTGCCATTGTCTCATCAAAAGTAAGGCCACTTATCTTAAGACAAATCACACAAAGAGAACATCTGAGCTTATTACTTTCAACATATTATAACTTCTCCCATGATGAGAATGTTTACAAGACAGGCCTGAAGACTCTGCTTACCACGAGACCATCTGGCAGGGGACTCTATTCAAAGCATAGCGTGGGGCAACCCTGCTAAACAAGAGCCCACAGATTCTGTGCAAACAAATGTCTGAGGTGACTGAAGTTTTCAAGGGTGGGAAGTCTCTGTTGTTTGCAGAAAATAATGAATCAAAACTTAAGTTAAATAGCAAGCAACTTCACTCCTATGAGCCACTAACCTTGGTATCATATTACATGGTTTCCGGTTGACCTTCAAACACTAAAAAATTCTGATGATCATCTAGTGCCACATAGAGCTGCCAATGTGTGAGAGGCAGATGTAACACCTATTCTTACATCTATACCACCCACAAGCACCCACATGAACGCAACCTCAAATGCAACACAGAAAGGAAGATCGAGACAGTGAGAAAGAGATAATTCATATTCAGTTCTGGCTGTCGGGCCTTTTTACAGTGTGTTAGCCCAGTAAAGGGATCAGTACCTGGTAAGCAGACACTGGAGACATGTAGGGAGACATCGCAGGCTGCACAGTCATTATCCTGTTGGTCACTGGATATGGAGAAGGATAGTACCTAGGGAACAGACAATATTTCAAAGTAAAGCTCCAGAATGATGAGGCTAGTAAAACGTTAAATGATGTCATATTATGAACTGCTATATTCTTTATTACCCATTCTGTAAAGCTCCTGAGGCAGAGTCATAGGTTAGAGTCATTGCACCCTATATAAGAAAATAGACAATAATATGGAATTACATATTTACTGAATCAAAAAACTATCAGTACATACAATAGGAAACTGGGCTTCATCACTGATTTTCCAACAGTCTAGACTATACATACATACATACATATAGAAAGATAGATAGAAATAGAAAGAAAGAAAGAGAAGGAATAGAAGAATAGTCCCACTGAAGAGCCAAATGGGAGTCGACTGACAAAATCCTTAGTCAGGCACAGCCCTAAACTGCGATATATAAAAAAATAGAATAATGACATCATGTTACTAATACGCACGTGATAATATCGTAAATATTCCAGAGCCAATAACTATCGGGTTGACATTCCAACTACGTATGTGCCGTAGACATGGTGATAATATTGTTATCGTGAAATTTTTGTCCACAATAATCATGTAGTGAAAATCTAATATTGTGACAGCCCTAGATTCAAGTATCACAAATATCACTTTTTCATTTAAAAATATAGCTATATGCAACACTCCGGTTCTGGCTTTTGTGAATTTATGGTATCTTATACCTTCATCTATTCTCATCGCATTAGCAGTAGCACAGAAGGAGCAAAAGGTTACAATACATATTAAATGATAGGCGGATACATACTAGTCTGAGATCCCCTGTCTGTCCACTGGGAACAAATCCACCGTGAGCATGTTTCTTCCTTTGACTGTCTGCAAACTTACACAGCAAGGGCTGAGAGGGTGCTGGGGTATGGGGGCAAAGCACAAAAACTGACATATTACCAGTCACTCCAGAATCAAGCATCATTGCTTCCCCAGTTTTCAATGAACAGAAAGTGTGTAGAAAGGTGAAGTTCTTTACCCAGTGCTCCAGAAGCTAACTTGATAAACTTCCCATTGAAGTGGGAGATGACTGCATTACACTGCTCTGTTGTGTCCATCCTGTTAGTGGAGAAGAGAAAACAACAGCCATGAGTCATCATCAAACCCCACAGAGATGATCTACAGTAAACGTTTCTTTAACACAAAGTGGTATTGTTTGGCATGACGCAAGTCTTGGGATATGTCTTGGCTCTCTTCATTCAGAGGTCAAACATGACTGTCATCCTCATTTTAGACTCAGATTCTTACACATACAGTATGTTTGACTGTGTGTCTATGAATAGGAGCTAATAAATCAAATCAAACCTGTAGGTTTATTCTACAACTACTTTAAAGGTGATTCAGCAGGGGAGAAATGAATGCTCCTTTTTGTCATCCCTCTGTGACTGACCTGGCGAAGCCCACGCCTCGGCTGTTGCCGCTATAGTCCCGGAGGATCCGTGTGGAGATGACCTGGCCGAAGGGCTGCAGCATATTCTCTAGTTCTTTCTCATCTAGAGAAAGAGGCAAGTTGGAAATGTAGAGATTTGTGGGGTCCTGCTCCTGTTGCTGTTCACATAAGAAGATGGAAAAGAAAAAGTATATTGAATGCCATGTGTTTTGTTAAATGTTTTGTTATATATTCTGAGAGTGGGAGTTGGTCTGAGATGCCAAAAAAAACAAGAGTTTCTTATGAATCAGTATTGCACCACAGATAAAGGAAGTGCTGCACTATTTCTTCACTGACAAATGAATAGTATGAAACTAGTTTGTGTGGCTCAGATAAAAGTATGGTTATGGGTCAGAGGAAGATGTTTTGTTAAACAAATATTAATAAGCTCTCCTGTGCGCGCGTGCACACACACACACACACGTGATCACAGTGAAACACACTTTGTCTGCACTGTGCAGCAAATCACTGCCTCTGTGGTCTTCCCTTGAAACAGCAGGAGAGCAGCGTAGCCTAGCTACCACAACACAAAAACTGTGTTCTGCTGTGTTTGTTCCAAACAGAGCGGCTGCATGCAGGTCTCCAGAGAGCAACGCTTCATCAATGAACTCTGCCCGTGAATTTGAGCACAGCCCCACAGGTCTGGCTGGGAGAGGGAAGCGACTGAAAAAAATGTAATAATCCTGACAATTTCTGTTGCCCACAATGAGATAAATCACAGATGTGATGCAGAAATACCTTGTTTGTCATCTAAAAATATTTTAAATAAAAAACATGTGTGCTTCACTTTTAATGAGTCACAGAGGATCAACAACAGCTTAAAGCAGCGGTGCTTCGGTGCAGATATGCCGACATCAGTATGCATGAATAATAACTGTTAACACTCAGCGACAGAGTAATACTGGTAAAAATCTGTTATACAACCTCACCAGGATGGTGTGTTAGTGTGTGGCCTTGTGGTCCTGTGTTTAACATGTCACACTTACTGGTGGGTCATTTGGCAGTGAGAGATCAGTGCCATCTGGTTTTTACAGTGAAATTAAATAGGGTCACGAGAAGAACAGCTTATCAGCTGAGGTCATGTGACCAGTCTAATGCCATTCTCCAACACACACGCTGGACACATGCACGCATTAAACAAGGACATCCCCACAGAGATGTGCACAAGCAAGACAATTTGCAACCGCACACATGCCTGCACCAAACTCACCTTGGCCATCTGGGCCTGTATGCCACTGGTTTTCAGAGCATGTACTGCCTTTAAAGCAGCTGCTGGGCTGTCAAAGTCCACAAAGCCATAACCTGTTGTTGATAGAAGAGCATTTATATGAACAGTCACTAAATAATAAGAACAACCACCTATTGTACAGTTTGTAATATCACTATTACTGAGTGATGGAGCATTTGCTTGCTATTTATTGTTTACCATAAACATACCAATACACCTTTATAATATCAAGCATGGTACATAATCTTGTAAAATATCACTGCAAAACAATTTTGAAAGTCTGATTTGTCTCAGAGTGATTTCTGAAAATTTTAGTTCAACATTTTGACAAATCTAGTTATTCAGAGATTCATGCAAAGGTTGATAACACTCATGTCTGTGTGGTACATGTAAATATGTAGTCAAGGTCAGCAGCTGGTTAGCTTAGCTTAGCATAAAGACTAGCAACAAGGGGAAACAGCTAGCCTAAATCTGACCAAAGCTTTAAAAAAAAGCTTTCTTAGCTAGGTGCAATGATCTCTGGAACTCAAAATTTTGGACTGTTCCTTTAAGAACAAGACCAGTGTCTATATCTAACCCAGTTTATGACAAACTACCATAGACCATGATTGTATAAGCTATTGTATTTGATGGCACGCATTCTTCCTACTGAATGTTTCCCCCGCCACCTCCACCCATGCGTTCCCGCTGGGCAAGTAGACTTTACATTGGGATGACATCATGAAAATAAAATGTTTTCTAGCTCTGGGCAACTTTTAACACTATAAAACCTCCATGGATTTAAAACTCATAGTACAAAGAGTGATAATTAACCTGGTTTGCATTTTGAGGTGTCCTGTCAATAGTTTTACATATGTATTTTTATGATTGTGGTCTATGAAGAAACCAATTTTTGGACTGCAGTACCATGAGTGGACACTAGAACAATTTGTCTGAAAGGGCAGCGCTGTGTCGAGCTCTCATTATACATCAATGCCACTTACTGTATATAGACATGGACAACTTGACAGCACCGAGAGGCGATGTCACCGCAAGTTAATCGCCCCCTGGTGGCTGGACATGAGCCAAACTACTTTAAAAATTAAAACTACAAATCAAATAAAATTGTCCCAAAAGGGATTTCTGTCATTTTAGGTAGTTATTATCATGTTGACTTGTGTAGAAGAGGTCATTTTCTGATACGTTTGTTTTTATTTGATGAAATAAAAGGGGATGTATTTCAGATGATTGACAGCTTCGATTATCACCTGATACTACAGTACTCACTACTGTACAGAATCTGGCTGCAAAATGCATCACAAAAGCAATATGGATACCACCGTATTTGCAATATTTTGGCTTTCCTTTTGTATAGTGGCAGGAAATGGTGATGTGTCATCCATTTACTGAAATTCTAGTTAAATATACTTTTTTTATATAAGTGCACAGCACTGACTGGTACTGTGAAATAATTACCTTACTGACCTTTACATTTGTTGGTTGTCTTGTCCAGGATTGCCTTTGCTGACTGAATCTTGCCATACCTGGGCACACATCAACATATAGATTACTGTCAAAGAACCTTTTGAAAAGGATTAATCACTATAGGAGGCTGGTGAATGTCGTTTCACAAAAAATTCTGTGTATTCTTTTCCAGAAGAAATCGTGCACAGAGTGCATTCACTTATCATGAGAATCTAGTGAGATAAAAAATAAAAGACAACACAAGCAGAAAAGAATGATTTAATGGAAACAACAAAAACAGATGATATTTTCTGAGAAAACTGCTTAATTCAACGTCACGTACTGTAGATCACAGCTCTATCCTACATGTTTCCAATCATTACGAATCCAGTTTCAGTGTTTCAGGCTTTATCTCTGACTTTATAGTGAAGTTGAACTGTGGCACAAGCTGTGAACTGCTATCTAAGCACACACACCATACACACTGAATGCCTAGCAGCTTACATCTCCATTCAGACCCTGTTGCTATGAAAAGCGCTTTCATTTCTGCTTTGTGCCTGCAAACACCACTGGGAACATGAACAAATACAAGCAAACAGGACACAAACAGCTGCTGTTGCTGGTTACATGGGTGAATGCCTCTCTCCATATGTTAGTGATTCAGGGGGAAAGAGAGGCGACAAAACTCCATTAATAATTGTCTCGAACCACTCAGACTATAGTGCATAATATCTGGTACGAAACATGTTCAGTGGGCTGCTGTACATGATTGTATTTTTCGTATTTAGCATATTTATCATGTTTACAGCCTGCTTCACATTTCACAGAAGAGTGACAACTCTGTGTATGCCTCTTAATAAAGGTAAGGGGGCAGAACCATTTTATGTGTCATTGTACATTATGGTCCAACCAGTGTATGTTTCGAATCGCAACACTGAGGTTTCAACACTAACACTACAGACAGTCAGTTTTTCTTTTTTTAACTGTTTCACAGACTGATTTTTTTTGTGTTTTTGTACAGCATGTGTCCATGGCCAGGTAGAGAGACCATCATCAAATCAGACTGGAACGACATGTAATATTTTAAGCCTGCTATTGGCTTCTTTCGTCATCAAACAAGTGTATCAGTGAGATATCACTGGTGTGCGCAGACATAAGTGTACTAGTCATGCTCATATAGTATATGTGTGTACACTCACTGGTGACAGAGTTTGACCAAGTCCAGATCTGTAGTAGCAGGAGGCAGGCCGCGGATGTACAGGTTAGTTTTGCTGAGCTGCTCCAGGCCTGTGCTGCTGCTGTTGCTGCTGCTGCTGGGACTGGATGGAGTCATAGGGTAGGACTGCACACAGGAAACCCACTGTAAGGAAGTGTATGGCAGCTAGATAACCTAATTTAAAATCAGGTCAACAGTGACCACAAGAAACCAACGTGCAGAAACATGCACAATCTAACTTATCCTTTCCAAATGTTAAAGTACATGTTATAGTATATGGACAATGTGCATTATCATTTCATGTACATGTTCCATTAAAAGGCACTCTTGATGATGTTTAGCACTGCCCATCAATGATCATCGGTGATCTACACAGCAGTCAGTTTTCTATGTTGCGGCAACATCGAGGTCCAGTGGTGGGAGTAGTAGTACTGCAGGTGTTTAAGTGTGATTTTAAGGTACTTGCACTTCACTATTTTCATTTTATGCCACTTTACACTTCCACTCTACTACATTTCAGAAGAAAATACTTACATTTTTACACGTCTGCTTTTCTAGTACACCCATACTGTAGTTTAGAGATTAGGATTTTACATGAAAAACATATGAGCTTTACTAAAGCTTTACTATTAGTGAATTAAGTACCTAAAATTAGCTATAGACTAGGCTAAGGAATTGTGTCCAATGTAGCCTAATAAAAAATTGATAATAGAACACTCCTGCATTATGAATACTATGTTTGATACTTAAAGTACATTTTATATATAATTCAACTTAAGTAACATTTTGAATGTGGGACTTTTAATTGTAATGGAATGTTTTAGACTTGAGTATTTCTATTTATATTTAAGTAAAGGAACTGAATACTTCTTTCACTATTGTCAGGGTCTCGATGGCAAGTAGGAGTGACCTTTAAGTTTTTGTAAAATGGTGGCTTTGTCCACCAATGTACCGCAGAGTACATTAATAGATATATTGTATATGGGCATCTATGCAATTAAATCTGTGTTCATATCTTACATCCTGCTGTAGTGTTTATTAGTAACCTCATAGTTTTGAGCCAAACCATGTCGCGCTGCCCTGCAAAGCATTTCTTTCCCATTACTCATTCATTACTGTAAAACAGCTCCCAGCTATCCCAAACCCTCTCCAGATCAGATCAATGACAAAGCATGGCAGAACTGCACCATCTGTCCATAACCAAAGCACAATCCACTCCATGAGCCAAACCATGAACACAACTACAGCCATGTCGACATGAATCACTGAGATATTCTTTCATAGTCATGGAATGGTTAAATGTTCAAAGCTGCCATTTGTTTTTTACAGATGAGAGATTAATCGCTGTGGCAGGAACATCTGTTAGGCCTTTTACTGTATGTGTTCAAGTACAGGCCTTACATTTTAGTCAGTATGCAGCTATCACGCTCACTTTATTTTGAGACCATCAAGGGTTCACATTAGGCCTCTGAGATGGTACGCCTACTCTGTTAGAGGGCAGCTATCGTGGTGTATTTCACAGAGGCATTATCATAAGTGACTACCTGTGTTAACTCGTGTTACACCTACACTGAAACTCATTCACTGCTCCCCTGCGGGGATTCATGTGTGGCTGGTTTCAGATTTACGCCCTCAGAGTAATACACCGCAGTCCACCTTCTAATGAATAAATATTACCCTTTCATTTATTTGAGGTCTTACAAGCTGCAAGCTCAAAACAATTCATCTCAAATGATACTAGGACTTCCATTTCAATTATCTCACCTCTGGGCCTGCTTTCTATTCTCATTTCCCATCTAAATTAAAAAGTGTGATTGGTCAGCAAAGGGGCAAAGCCTTCAATTACCCTTTTGTTCACCTAAGAGGTCAGAATGAAGGATACAGCCAGCATAGTTCACTCCAGCCCACAGTACATACATTATATTACACCGTCGGTTCACTTAGAATGCACAAAATATATAGTTAACATAGCCTACGTATGCAATAACTGCCATGCATATTGATCAGAGTGGACGAGTGACTGTGCAAACAAGGTTATATGGACATAATAATTAAAGTCTGGGTTATAGAGTTATAGATGTATCAGCAGCAGCTTTGCTCTCTCCATGTAGCCTGTCCTATCAGGGAACCAGCGTCTGACAAGTCGGCTGAAAGCAGTGGATCTGTTTAACAAAGAATGCAAATGATTTCGTATTAAAAGCTTCGATATCAATACATATGAAAGCCAGAAAGGGTTTCCCAATGTCATCTGTGGCTGCTCAGGTTGTACATCACATGCTGCCTCAAGTGTGAGCGAAAAAAGTAGGTAGAAAAAAAATGCGTGTGTGTGTGCGTGTGTGTGGCCTACCTGCTTACGATTGGCTGTCTTCAGTGGGTTGCCCGTGTTTGCAAAGATCATCCTGGAGGTTACAGATTAGCTATGCTATTATATATTTCCCCAAAAAATTGTCCAGGAGGAGCCAGTATAGAGCCGGAATCCACGCGGTGAGAAGAACCTATAGAACAGTCAGTCGGTTTAAAAAATCCGCATTTTGAACGAGCTGATTAATAGTAACAAAGCCTCGGTCCTGCATAGATATACCACACATCTATACAGTCAGATACACACCAGGTGATGGACCAACCCTCCGGTCCGGTTCATTGATCTACGACGTCCTGCTGCAGACCGCTCGGCAGTTCCACCTACTACAGACCAAACCATCTCCGCCTTTGCAGGGTGTTTGACATCTAATAAACTGCGTGGTCGCCTCATAAAAACTCGCCCTGTGGTTTGCTTTTTTGTGACAAAGGCGTGTCGAGACGTCTGGAGACTGCAGTCAGTGTATAGTCGGATACAAAGTGCTTTGGGGTTGGTTTGTAGGCGCACAGTCTATTAGACTGAACACTTGCGCCTTTCATGTTGTTCTCGTCCGCACATACCAGGCATTCTTCACCCCCACCTCCTTCAACCACACACATACACGCACAGTCCGTGAATGCTTTAACCTTTTGATTCCACCACACAGAATAGCCGTGATTTTTTTTTGTCGTTTTACCAACAGAACCGACTTAGCCTAAATTACTTGCTGGCCATTTCTGATCTGACCGGCAGTTATTATTATTATATTCAGAAACACTGACTCATCGCGTGTAGTACTGTATGCTTCTGTCATCTGACTAGTACTCATTTTCTCACTGCTCTCAAATTACGTTTCTTGTTGCCCCAAAACTGGCAAATGTCACTGCGCCATTAATCTCCCTCATGATAATACTCGATGTGAGTGAAAGTCGACGGCAATAAAGCTGTTTGCACATCATTCACACAAACACTATAATGCTATTTAGCTTAAGAAAGTACAGCTATACAGTATAATATAGGAATAAATGAGTACTAAATGAAAGCTACTGTCTACATAAATTACACACGTAGTGCGTAGTGCACCATAAACGACTGACATACATACACCTCAGGTGTGCTTTCTGACAAATATAACCTAATAAAGGCATTAGGATTAGTTGTGCCTGTGAGTACCCTTGTTGGTTGCTATCCCCCCCACCCCGCGCCCCACACACACCCTCTTCCTCTTCCTACCCTTCCCCCCATCTAACACACTGTCAGAGAAGGATGCAATGAAATATAAGCAGGAGGTCACTGTTTCCTGGGAACTCAGCTATGGGAGAGAGTGGTTACATTTTTAGTTCTTTTATAAAATATTAAGTCATATGTATCATGTTTAGTCTTCATATATTTCATTTTGAATATATAATGATAATAGTCATTTTTGGCCAATGAAACTGTTAGGTATTTTTTAGTCAGATAGATATTGGCCAGATACTGGTTGTGTAAGAAATGTTTAGTGGAGACAGGATGTCTAGGTAGGCTGTTAAATGCTTAGTCATTCTCATGAGTTTTGCAGGGTGCACGTGGTCAAGGATAACTAGATAGAAAAAGTTTGACTGTCAGCAGGCAGGATGAATATTGTTATTATTATGATATGTTTAACCGTAATTGTAATCATAATATTTTCTTATGTGTAATGTCATGACATGTCACTAGATGTCATGTCAGAATGTTCTTAGATACACACCACAACCAGATATAATGTATAGGCATTGGTGGTTCAGGGTCTTTCATTCTTCATCTGCCTGCGCGCAGTATTGGAGGTGAAGGATACCTGGACGTGTAATGTTAATTTTACCTGTGATCCTTTGAATAAACCAGCACGGTTATTTTTTATATATCCAAGTGGTCCGCTTCGTCTCTCTGAGTTTCACTGGTTAAAAGAGCCGAAAAAAGCTTTCAAAACATAAATTTCTTATACATTTGTATGCACATACATGCATTTCTTAATTTAGTGGATAAATAAATGAGTCTTGCTATGTTATGTTATGTTATGTTACAGTATAGCACAAAAATCTAGGCTAATACAGTACATTAACAATACAGCACATTAACTCTTCAGACCTCATTCAGTTTAGAGGCAATGTCTGGCTGCACAGCAGCCAGACATTGTTCAGATACATAGATCTTTGTTTTAATCTGATTGTGGGAAGTGTGCCTAAAATTATGCAGTCATCTATTTTCATTTGATGGAATGGTGCAGTTATAAATAAAGAAAATTGAGTCTAGGGTTTCATGTTGTGCAATCATTATACAGCTTGAGGGTAGAGCTGGAACAAACTGATGCACAAAAATTATGTCTTACAGTCTAGAATAAAATGATTTTTCTAACCTCCAAACTACTCATACCTTTTGTTATTGTAAAGGGTTCAAATTGATAAAAAAGTGTCCCTAGATGCAGTTTTTACCTTTTGTGTTTAAATAGTTGACTCATATCTTTTCACACTGCTTACAAGTCACTGTCCATATAAAAGCAATTGGCAAACAGACAAAAAATTAATTGTAGTTTGATACAATCCTTTGGATTTCATTTCTAAAAAAGAAAGTGGAGAATTCACTTATGAATTTGATTTCTTAATGAATTATTTGTCCATTTTTGTCCTGATTTAAAAGTGGACAGAACAGCAGTGACAGGAAATGAAAGGAGAAATGGGAATAATGTGTAACCAAGTTAGCCAGCAAGACTCAAAAGATGAACTTTGCATCACCACACATTGCATGGTATTTATCTTAACCTCTGTGAACACTAGTACACACAGTTATCTAATTATAATGCTTTTATATTCACATACAAACACCTAAGGGACCAAAGCAGTGCTTACCACTAGCAGCCATCCTGCAGGTCCTGCTGGAGATTTATAAAGCAAAGCTAAAGCCAAATCCCGTCAGGGTGTGATGAACCTCTTAAAGCATCAAATTTCTCACTCTTATTTCCTCTGCTGGAGCGATTAAGGATTCAGGTTGGTGTTGTGTTGTAAGATACTTGTGATTTCACTTGAAAAATATAATCATTCCTATCTAAATGATCAGCTGCATTTGCATGGATGATTTCCGGTGCTTATTTTTACCGAGTTTGGTAGTGATTGATTAATAAACCCATCAAGTCAAATTTGTTGTGAATTGATCATTAGGTGACAGATGAGACTTCATATACAGCAGGTTTTAATTGATTTGCATCTTGTAGCGTATTCATGCTCTGCATTGTTTGTTTGGATAATTTATTAAATGCTTTAAAAATTACTACTTTCTAGTTAGAGCAGCAAAATGAATGGGTTTCAAGCTGAACTACTAGGGAGGCAGTCTATCAATCTCAAACAGAACTGAATTCAGTGGAAAAACCCAGTCAGCAGCAATAATGATTATGCAACAGTAAATTCTTTCATTTTCAAAGGAAAAATAATGACAATTTATTTTCTGCACTTTCTTGACTTTAATCAAGTTATTGATAAGACCCTTTAATGCTAGATATAGCCTACACCTGCTAAAGCGCTATTACAGGAGACTGCATTGAAACTATATTAACAATAACCCAGTAGAAACTATATAAAAACTGAAGCCATTAGAGACAAGATTAACAGGAAGCCCATCCTGGTTAAGATTGTTGAGTCTACTGAACTGTGTCGAGGTAGCAGGAGGTCCTGTGGGTGTGGAGAGGGAGGGACTGAGGAATGTGGATAATAATGTGCTCCTTCCACATCCAAAGAGTCAGGGAAACTGAAATTTGAAATTTCTGGTGACGACCTCTGCACCCCAGCTGACCTTTATGGCTGTAACACTGATAGGTGAGATTGTTCATGTTGCTCTGCAGTTTTGACGACTGACTGGCTGGAATACATGAACCCAACAGAGGAGCGTTTTCACAACCCCAGTAATGGTGTGGTTTGGCTCTGAGTTTGTGGCTCCTCAGGGAATAATGAAATGCTCACATGGTGAAATGTGAGAAACCATGCAAACATCATTGCAGCTTTCACTCTTCTTAAAACAAAGCCATTTTGCAGTGTTGTTTTTTGTTGAGATGACACTTGTAATGTAAGTGCTGGAGGTCATATTCAGAATGCATCTTTACATTCAACTGAATTAAAAAATATAAACCAAGTTACTTTAAAACATAGACCTAAATACCACAATTACACATAATTTTTTCTACTCCACTTCACTAATTTCATAGCAAAACATTGTAGGAAGTAGCTACATCTCATATATAAAGATCTCTCTTTATATATATGTAACCTTTAGTACAAAAATTAAACCATGTTTGACCACTAAGAGATTTTTAAAATAAGTAAACTAATTGTAACTTTTGTAACGTCATCCGACAATTATTTTTCTTAATAATTGATGAATCGGTGTATAAAATAAAGTGTCAGAAATTTAGGATGTTGTCTATAATATGAAACAAAAAAACAGGAAATATTCACTTATTTTTATTGTACTAGGCAGCAGTAATAATGTAATACATCAATGTATGAGACGTAGTCTAGTGACTGTGGCGCTCTCTTGTGTTTTGATTTTGTAGTTGCCAGTCGGGCTACAACAATATACGTCATCAGCGCGACGGAAGAAGACAATTCTGGCTGATTCATTGTAGCCAGCTGGGTTTTCAGTTGCACACGGAACAACAGTCTTCTGAATATCCGACAGAATTGACAGCAGGTAAGTAGACTTGCAATTTTAACATAGTATATAGGTTTTATAAAGTATGTTGGGATGACATTTGCGCGATTTGTTCCTGCTTTTCGTACGCGAGAATACATTGGCTAAGTTAGCATCAATAAGCTAACAGCTTGCTAACCTTAGCCATATATTTAGTTAAGCGATTAATGTATTATTATACATTCATGATTTATAATACCATTAATGAACCGAGCGCTTTACTGACAGCTAGTGCTAAATGTTCCTGCTGTCGTTTACAGCTAAAGTATAATTTGAAAAAATCATTAAACTCAATGCGTGTTTAACTAGGTCTAAATAGCGATATGGTTGCTTCACTAGTCACTGCAGTTTTTGAGTTCTCAAATATACGAAGTTTGAAATGTATATTTGGCTATGTTTATGTTATTGATCGTCATAGAACAAATATAGGTATGTAACATGTTACAATATAAATAAAAACTAATTATACACGAGCAATTAAATGACAAGATAAGACGCATACATACAACAGTATAGTATAATGTGTGTAAAATTAAAATTATATCCTTTAAAGTAATAGTAACACTAATAAACTGATCAGGTAATGATATTTGGTATTTTTGTTAATAGAACTATAACATATTAGCATAATTAGTATAATACAGTATACTAGAGTAATGTACTAATATGATATAACTTGATATAGAGTTATAAAATAGAATGTAAAAATACATTTATAATTTATTATGATTGATTTAAATGTATTATAAATGTAGTTTCACATGTAAATTTAAAATGCAAAGAGATGGTATGTTAAAACCACCAACTCATTACTACTCCTTAAATTCAAATTGACCTAATCCCCCATCTACAAGTTCACAATTTAAGCACAAATTCA